AGATTCATTATTTAAAACATTGCTAAAAATAAATCAGACATATATTTATTGTAAAATCAAACTCATTCGCCGAATGTAAACAAACCGCGCTATTTTTAGAAATGTCCGGATTTCCGGATATATCCGGAAGACTTTCATTATCAGGTTGAGAGAGGATTCGAACCAGCGACCTGCAGATTGGTAGTCGAACGTCCTGACCACTTGACCATGCGAGGCCTAGTATTAAAGAGATTGCTCTGAAAAGTGTTTCCATATTTGGTCCTTTAATCTTTAAACATACATGGAAATAATGGAATGATAATCAAAAGTACCGTTACAGATAATGGATGTTTTACATGTATTTAAGCATAAAAACTTAAACCCGTAAGGTAAAGTAGCTTGCTATGTTTAACAAGAATGATGATGCAAATTAGCGTTCCCAGTTATGGTTTGTTTGTTTGAAGTTAAGCAAAAGCTACACAATGGGCTATCTGTGCAATAATTATCGAAACCGGATTTCTATTGTTATAAGTCCGAAGACATACCGCTGTACCACTGGGAGCTCCAGTTATAGTGCTTCGATGCAGAAACACAAAATACATATATTAATCAAATTTCCAAAATTGGTCTCATTATATAGTATCATGCATAAAAATATTTGCAAAAGAAATGTTACCAGAGATCACTTAGATGACTTCTTAAAGGTGGTGTTAGGTTAGGTTAGGTTAGATCACTTAGATGACTTTTTAAAGGTGGTGTTAGGTTAGATCACTTAGATGACTTCTTAAAGGTGGTGTTAGGTTAGGTTAGGTCACTTAGATGACTTCTTAAAGGTGGTGTAGGTTAGATCACTTAGATGACTTCTTAAAGGTGGTGTTAGGTTAGATCACTTAGATGACTTCTTAAAGGTGGTGTTAGGTTAGATCACTTAGATGACTTCTTAAAGGTGGTGTTAGGTTAGATCACTTAGATGACTTCTTAAAGGTGGTGTTAGGAAAGTATTATTCTCCCATGGTTAGTATAAGAACAATTAAGCCTCCAAAAGGTGGCGTTGAGACAAAAAAAAAAGACTACTAAAGGAAGAGTTAACACAGACAATCATACAAAACATTCTCCTAAAGATGGGGTTAAACAATGAAACAAAAGAACCTCCGAAAAATGATGCTAAAGCAAAGAAACACTCAAAAGCATCTTCCAAATGCATACAATAAAATCATTTTGCCAAAGCAACCAACTAAAATGGTATTTAACCAACTGAACAAATAAACGACTTTAAAGATAACTTTTTAAAGGTGGTACTAAAAAAATTGAATAAATGCATTTCAACAAATAAATAAATAAACGACTTTAACGATAACTTTTAAAGGTGGTACAAAAACAAACAAAATAACACTGCTAACATATTAACCTGTAATGTTATACCAATATTCTTGTTACGAGAAACGAATATAACATATTAACCTATAATGTTATACCAACATTCTTTTTACGAGAAACGAATATAACATATTAACCTATAATGTTATACCAACATTCTTTTTACGAGAAACGAATATAACATATTAACTTGTAATATTATACCAACATTCTTGTTACGAGATACGAATATAACATATTAACATGTGATGCTGAACCAATATTTTTTTTACGAGAAACGAATATAACATATGAACTTGTAATATTATACCAACATTCTTGTTACGAGATACGAATATAACATATTAACATGTAATGCTGAACCAATATTCTTGTTACGAGATACGAATATAACATATTAAACCTGTAATGTTATACCAACATTCTTGTTACGAGATACGAATATAACATATTAACTTGTAATATTATACCAACATTCTTGTTACGAGATACGAATATAACATATTAACTTGTAATATTATACCAACATTCTTGTTACGAGATACGAATATAACATATTAACATGTGATGCTGAACCAATATTTTTTTTACGAGAAACGAATATAACATATGAACTTGTAATATTATACCAACATTCTTGTTACGAGATACGAATATAACATATTAACTGTAATGCTTATACCAACATTCTTGTTACAAGATACGAATATAACATATTAACTTGTAATGTTATACCAACATTCTTGTTACGAGATACGAATATAACATATTAACATGTGATGCTGAACCAATATTTTTTTTACGAGATACGAATATAACATATTAACTTGTAATGTTATACCAACATTCTTGTTACGAGATACGAATATAACATATTAACTTGTAATATTATACCAACATTCTTGTTACGAGATATACGAATGTAACGTATTAACCTGTAATGTAATACCAACATTCTTGTTACGAGATACGAATATAACATATTAACCTGTAATGGTTTTATTTCTACTTTAAGGTTATGTCTGAGTATTAATGGTAACTGCCTTCCCACAACTGGCTGCACACAGAGAAATGCAGTAGGAGTTGTAGGTGTAAGCACTCAACTTCTAACTCTTAACTGATTTCCAATAGCTGCTGGCTAATTTGACATCGGTGTTTGGATTTTGTCTGATAGATGGAATATCCCCAACGCATTTGGCTGCTATGACTACAGATATTATCCGTTATGACTTAAAGTTGACAACTAGGACTGATAATGGAAAATAATTGTTTAATTTTAGTTATATTGTAATATTTATTTTATATTAAGTTCATTATTGTTTTATAGTGCTGATTTAACCAGCTATTGACAATCAATGTAACCAAAAGTATTAGAGATATTTATGTGTTTATTTGGTGGAAAATAGTGTTAAGGTGTTGATTTATCGCCCGTTTCCTTTTTGTCCTATTTCAGAATCTTCTACCACACTTCAACACTGGTTCTTAGCCTAACTAGCTATTTACCAGTAATTTAAATATGCTGTTTTAATTCGTGAAAAGTTTGTTTGTAATGCTTAGCTTGTCAAGATATACCACTTTGTAAAATGGGTAATGTAATTTATCTATTAACTTGTGGTATGTGTGGTCTTAAATATGTAGGAAAAACAACTAATCCTTTGCATTTAAGTATTAACCTATATAGATCTCAAAATAATAAGTTCAATTGAAATCGATAATTTTAACAAATATTCATTTCCTAATGTCAAAATTACTATCTTGGAAAAAAAATGTATAATGTAAATCTAATAACAGAAAAAAGAAGAATATTTTGTTTTGGAAGAAAAAACTCAGGACTACAGGTTGTGAATCATGGCCTCAGAACCAAGTAGTCTGTAGTTAACCAAACAGATGAGTCTTATGTGTTTGTCGCACCTTCTCACGAAGGACTTTTTTTTTACTAAAGTTTCACATACTGCCCACTATGATACACGTGCTTCGTAACACGTTAGTCAGTGATGTCATTTTAGTCGGTGTATTCTTGACTGTGGGAGAAGAGGAGTTGTTACAGCACCACATGACGATCACGTTGTTGTTTTGC